AGGGTGGAGAGGGAGAAAGAAATGGAATGTAGAGAATTTGAGTCGATCGGAAGAGGGGAGGAGAAGGAAGGGAAAATGGGAGGAGATACGGATGGGAGAGGGGAAAAACGGGTAGGAGAGGGAGAGAAAAGGAGGAGGAGAGGAGAAATGGAGGGAAGGGAAAAACGGAGGAGAGGGAGAAATGGGAGGAGGGAAGAATGTAGGAGAGGCGAAAAACGTGAGGGGAGAGAGGAGAAATGGAGTGAAAGCTTGAAGGGGAAGATGAGTGGAAGGAATAGGGGCAGGAGAAGGGAGACCTGTGGCAAGGTGGAGAGAGAGAGCAGAGAGATGAGGAAGATGAGACGAGAGAGAGAGAAGAGAAGAGGAGAGAGAGAAGAGGAAGGGAGAAGAGGGAGAGAGAGAGAGAGAGGAGAAGGTATGTAAGAGAGAGGAGGGAAATAACAGTTACGGATATATCTAGCATCACATGTTAATTTTTAACGCATGGCATTGTCGGTGTCAAATCGGAGAGGCGGTCGGGGGAGACGACGGGGGAATAGGAGATAACTTGTTGTCCCATGGTAACGTTTAGTGCGTGCCCAAATAGTTTGTAAAGGGAGTGAAGGTGAATCGAGGGAGAAATAAACGGGAGAGAGGTAAGAGGTGAAGATTGAAAGGGGGGAGAGGAGAGGGAGGAGGAAGAGGTAGAGTTGGAGACAGGCCGGGAAGGATGGTGCAAGCGAGGTCGTAGGGGGCGTAGATGGGGGATGGTAGGGGGGGGGGGGAGAGAGGGAGATGGGGAAACCGCCCTACCTGTTTTTGATAGATAGAATTTGACCTTTGCCGCGGTCATTGGCGACCTGTTCCGATGACCCAAGTTGTAAAAAATCTTCCCAGTGAGGGTTGGTACCTAGTAATTAGGAAAGAAGTATGGAAAAGGGAGAGAAGAGAAGGAGGAGATGAGTAGAAGTGAGAGAGAAGCAGGGAAGGCGGAAGGAGTAGGAGTAGGAATGAAGGAGCGGGAAAGGGGAGGAAAAAGAGTGAGGGAGAGGGAAGTAGGGAAAGGGGAGAAAAAAGGGAGCGGGAGGAGGGTGGAGGGAAGCAAGAAGAGGGAGGATGGGGGAGAGGAGGTTTTGTTAGGAGGAAGGGATGGGAAGCAGGAGAGGGGAGAGAGAGAGGAAGAAAGGTTGGGGAGGAGAGAGAGGAGAGTAGGAAAGGGAGAGGGGAGCGGGAGAAGAGAGAAAGAGGGAGAGGGAAGGAAGAGAGGAAAGTGGACGGCATGAGTGGAGGGATGGGAAGTCGGGGAGAGAGGGTGAGAGAGGAACGGAAAGAATGGACGGAGAGGGGAGGAGGAGTAGAAGGAGGGAGGGAAGCAGGCAAGGGGAGGAAGAGGGAGAAGACAGTTGTGGGGAGGGATGAAAAGTAGGAAGGGAAGGGGAGGACGAAGAAGAGGATGGTGGATGGGAGAGCGAAAGAAAGGGAAGGAGGGGGGAGGGAAGGAATAGGGAAAGAGTAGAGGAAGGAGAAGCAGGAAGGAGAGGGAGAGGAGAAGAGAGATTGGAAGAGGGAAGTAGGAAGGGGAGTGAGCGGAGGAGGTGAAGGAAGCAAAATGAAGGAGGGAGAGAGAGTGGGAGGAGGAAGAGAAAGAGGAGGAATGAGAAAGGCAGGAGGATGCCCAAAGTAGGAGGGAAAAAAGGGTTAGACGGTAGGAAGAGAGGAGGGAGAAAGAGAGAAAAGAAAATAGGGGGTAAGGGAGAGGAGGTAGGGGAGGGAGGGGAGGAGAAAAGGAAAGGGAAGAGGAGAGGGAAAGAAGGAAGGAAGGAGGAAGGAGAGAGAGAAGGAAGTGAAAGATGAAGGAGAGAAGGGAAGGAAAGAGGAAGGGAGAGAAGGAAGGAAAGAGGAAGGGAGAGAAGGAGAGAGAGGAAAAGAGGAAAGGGAGAGAAGGAAGGGAAGAGGAAGGGAGGGACGACTGGGGATTGGGGCGTGTTGAGGTTTTCGGAGGTTGCCAAGCTCAGAATAAAGTGAAAGTTTGTTCTAATTCTTTTTATTCCACATTTCGCGTTTCTATAACAACCAAAGGGAAACTCAGTGAAAAAGAAAAGAAGAAAATCTATTATATTTCTATGATTAATTCCAGCTCTTGCCTTGAATTTCACTCTTCATATAAGGTTAAAAAAATGAAATGATAAGAAAAAAAGTCGTATTTGCAATAAAAATGAAAATTAGAAAGAAAAAAATCCACAGCGTCACCAGCGAAACCCTGACCCAACTAAAACTGGGAAAGTTGTCGTGAATTTAGCTTCGTGTAGGTGGAAGGCGAGAGAGAGAGAGTGAAAGGAAGAGAGGAGAGAGAAAGGCGAAAAAAGAGGAGAGAGGAAGAAGGAGGATGAAGAAGGGGAGGAGACGAGTGGTAAGAGAGAGGGACGGAGGGGATCGCGGGAGAAGAGGGAATGGAGTGACGAAGGATGAGAAGGATCGAGGAGAGAGGAGGAGAGAGAGAAGAACGAGGAGGGGCGAAAGAAAGAGCAGGGAGAGCGGGAAGGAAAGAATGGAGTGATGAGAGAGGAAGAGGGAAGAAGGGGGGAGACGATCAGGAAGGAGAGAGGGAAGTAGAGAAGGATGAGAGTGAGAGGAGGAGGAGGGAAGAAGAGGAAGAAGGAGAGGGAGAGAGGAGGGGGAGAGAGTAAAGGAGGAGGAGGGACAGGGAGAGAGGACAGAGATGAGGGAGGGAGAGGAGAGGAGAAGAAGGGAACGCGAGGAGAGAGAACGAGAGAGAGGAGGATGGAGAAGAGGGGGAAAGAGAGGAGGGGAAGGACGAGGGAGGAGGCGGGGAAGGGTTGCGAGAGGAAGGGAGACGGGAGAGGAGAGGGAAGAGAGAGAAGAGAGAGAAGGGAATTGAGGACAGAGGAGAGAGGAGAGGACAAGAGAGAGGAGGGGGAGAGAGGAAGGAGGAAGGAAGGAGGGAGGAGAGGAAGTAGGACGGGAGAAGGGCAGGGAGAGGGAGGAAAGAGAAGAGATGAGAACGAGGGAGCGGGAGGAGAGAGAGACGGAAGAGGGCAGGGGAGAGAGGAAAAGGGGAGAGGGGGAAGAAGAGAGAGGGAGAGAGAGGGTAAGGAGGAGAGTAGGGAATAGGAAGAGCGCAGAAGAGGAAGAAGAGGAGAGCGGGAGAACGGGAGGCAGAGAAGTAGGAGGAGGAGAGAGGAGAGACAGAGATGAGGAGAGAGAAGAGAGGATGGATGAGAGAGAGAGGAAGTGGAGAGAGAGAGAGAGAAGAGAGCATGAGAGAGAGAGAGAAGAAGAGGGAGCGAGAAGAAAGAGAGATTCAACGTTCCCCTAAAAAGGAAGAGAGTGCAGACCAGACAAAACCCATTCCCTCCCCGTTTCCAACCCAACCCGACCAAGTCCTTTCCCTCAAGCCAAACCAAGCCCCTTCCCTCAAGACGCAGCGCCGGGGGAAACAAAACCCGTGTCGCAACCCGTGAGTGAGTGTATGCAAATCATTTCTCCGCTGTGATTGGTGCGTATTATGATGCCTCCGTGACATTGCATAGTTCCGCACGTGGCCTGACTCGATGCAAGGTCGCGCTGCGCCTGTGTGCTTGTGAGTGTGTGTGTGTGGTAGCGTGGGTGCGTTGAGAGCGTGTTTCGGCTTTGTGTGGATGTTGTTGTGATGTGTGTGCAAGTTGACGTACCGACTGATTTCAGTTGTTGTGCTTACGTTGGTATTGACGTGTGTGTGTGTGTATGCGCACGAGTATGTCTATTTTTTATTGTTTGTTTATGTGTAAATGTGTTGTAGTTGTTCGTTGTTAGCGTGCGATCGACCACATAGTGAACCAAGTACCAAGTACTTTCTTGCTTGTGCAGGCATGCTATAACTGTTAACGGTACATTTTTTCTCTCTCTTGATTTCAGATATTCTTGAAAATCCGATATCGCAAAAAATAACTGAACACATCCTTACTCATTGCTGAAACACACCAACCAAGATTTTTATAGATAAGACTACGCATATTTATGTAGTTTTCGTAAATTCAGACGCTTTAGAGCATATTCTTAATGAAAATGCAGGAACGGCGTAGTGCCAAGACGTAGCAGTCATTCAACCTTCCAGAACAGGTGTGCCATTCGCCGTTGAGTTGCCGGCGGCCATTTTTTCGCTCATCCTCTTCATAAATGTCAAAATTTGACATAAAAGTAATATTAGTATATGAAATCCTTATGAATATTATGGGATCATATTGTTCGTCATGTTAACCTGATTTATTAACGAATAATTATCCGGAAGTGTTTGTACCTGGCAACTGTATAACGGATAACGGTCCTTGCGGAAGAAGAGGAAGGGATCCTGCGTGCAAGGAAAGGTAGAGGGACCCCAGATGTAAAGATGGATGATTTGGGTACATTTTGATTATGAGAGACATCTTGACAGATTAGGAAGATTAAAAGACTAAGAGAGGTTATTTCTGTCTCTTTTATCTGTCTGTCTGTCTCAACTGTCACTCTCTCTTAACTGCCTTCCCTTTTCCTCCATTCCGGCTCTTTTATTAATCTTTGGTCATCCACCACGCAGTTCAACCTTTCTCTCTCAACAGCTTCCATCCTAAAGCAAACTATATCACTTCTTTCGATAAGGATAAAAAAAATAGTTTTCTAAACCCCCCCTTACTCTCCCTTCGCCATCTAACCCCCTCCCTCCCCCCATCTCACGACCTTTAATCTCCGATATTCAAGGTCACTCTCTTCCCTTTCCCTTCTCAGTTCATGCCCCTCCTATGTCATCCATCTTCTCCACTTTCTTTCTCTACCGTTACCTCCTCTCCTAATTCGTCCTAACCTACTCCACCTCCACTCTCATCGCCCAGTTCCACCTTGTCCACCGCCTCCTTTTGGCTTAGGATTCTGCCATCCTTTTCCAACCCTATCCTCTTCATACGTACCACACTCAAACACCAATACGACCCCTGTTCATATTAATACTCCTCGTATTAATACTGTGCTACGACCTTCACTTAGGTGGCGGAGGTCGCCCGGCCGAGCAGCCGAACGACCACAGACGACTTCTCGATTCGACAGTACATGGTACGGCGGCCATCTTGGGTTTATTCTTTTACCTGTTTCTGTTCTGGCACTTTTGATTGTTTATATTCTGATGTTTTGCTGTTCTTTCTTTCTTTTTTTCTGCATCTCTCTCTCTCTCTCTCTCTCTCTCTCTCTCTCTCTCTCTCTCTCTCTCCTCTCTCTCTCTTCTTCTCTCTCTCTCTCCTCTCTTCTCTCTCTCTCTCCTCTCTCTCTCTCAGCTTTTCACTGTTCGTTGTGGGCACCGTAAGCATTTTGTTTGCTTCGCTTTGCAATTTGTGTTTACATGTATAGCAAGTCTTGAATCAAGGAGAGAGAGAGAGAGAGAGAGGAGAGAGAGAGAGAGAAGAGCGAGAGAGAGAGAGAGAGAGAGAGAGAGAGAGAGAGAGAGAGAGAGAGAGAGAGGTAAGAGAGAGAGTCTCCTGTGGGGTTTTCTCAAGGCTGTAATCTTCAGCTGTGGGCAAAACACCCAAACTGTGATTGTCTGAAGGGTAATGACGGTTTGAATATGGTTTTGCGGTTGGCGGATGACTCCCCCTCCCCCCCTCCCCTCCCTCCCCTCCCGCCTCTCTCTCTCTCTCTCTCTCTCTCTCTCTCTCTCTCTCTCTCTCTCTCTCTCTCTCTCTCTCTCTCTCTCTCCTCCTCTCCTCTCCTCCCTTCTCCCTCCCTCCCTCTCCCTCTCCCTCTCCCTCTCCCTCTCCCTCCCTCTCCCTTTCCTCCCTCTCCCTCTCCCTCTCCCTCTCCCTCTCCCCTCCCCTCTCCCTCAGTCTTTCTCCTGCCCCTTGTACTGCCTGGTGCCTCTTCGCATTCCGCTACGAAACACAGGTAGTGGGTGTCCGCTCTGTTTATAAACCCCGTTAAAGTGAACCGAGTAATACACGGCTGGATATTGGATTTTGAGGGATTATGAATATCACCCGGATTTGCAGATTGCTTGCGTAAATAAGGGATAGCGAGGGAGGGTTTTGGATACGCATGAATGATGAATGGAAGAGAGATCGGAAAGCTGAAATACGCGAGGAGGTGATTGGCCTGTCGACCGGACGGAAATGTGACGAGATCTTGAGACGGAGGAACGCGGGAAAATTATTTTTTTCTTTTTTTTTTGAGATCGATAGACCATGCTTTTCCCTCTGCGTTTATTTCTAAGCCATCCTTAATTGCCACTTGATTCTGTGATTGCAGAATTTTAGAAGAGGGAGGAGATGGTGATGGATTTATTACTTATTGCCGAGTGTATTTTTTGCTTCTTTTCTGTTATCGCCGACTGTCTCTGTTCTCTCTCTCTCTCCCACTTCCTCTTCCCCTCTCCCTCTCCCTCTCTTCTCTCCTCTCTCTTCCCCCCCCCTTCTCTCTCTCTCCTCTCTCTCTCTCTCTCTCTCTCTCTCTCTCACACACACACACACACACCACACACACACACACACACACACACACACAACACACACACCACACACACACACACACGAGTTAATCAAGAAAAAAGGTGTTAAACACAACCAAAAGCGCCGTGCAGAAAGAAACGGCCATTAGTCACGAAAAGGAAAGTTAGGCCTATGTTTTTAATATTGATTTCGTGAATGAGTGCGTGTGTTGGTTTCTTTTATGCTTCCTTGCTTTGTTTGTTGGAAAATGCAAAGTCATTTGAGGATATTTTTTTTGTTTTTTTTTTATTTTATCTTTTTGAACAATGGACCACTCTTTTCGACTAACCTAGTTATATATGTCTCGTTGCTCTTTGTGGGTAATCTATCAAATTCTAGATTTGTTTATTATTATTATTTTATTTTGGCAAACCTACCCATAAATTTACCAAAGTACACGGGTTTCCTTAGCAACAGAAATGTGTTTCGGAACCTGTTCGGGATAGGGCTGGTTCAAATACCTTTCGCTTTATATAATCTTTGTATAATCTTTAGAGCTTTCACCCTTTGTTTATAGATTTGTTAGGATATTAATGGGTTGATATTTCTGCAATCCTTTTGTGAAGGAGTGAATGTGCTTTGGTGGTGTCCTATGCCTTTAAAAGTCTGTGTATGCCTTGGAATATTTATTATGTGTAAGCGCCTTTTATGTTAAGATTTTGCTAGGAAACAAGGAATTTTAATTGTTTACCTCAACCGTAAGTTTATATTATATCCAGTAAGCAAACGTGCATTGTGGAATAATAAAGACAGTTACTGGCCAATGAAAAATATGTTTAAGTTTACCCTGTTTCGTAGCAAAGAAGAAAACGGATTCCAGCTGAGACTCGATGCCTGTAGCTGTTTTAACTGTATTTTATTCCGAGATCTACGAATGCGTATGCCGTTCACAATTTGTATTTTAGTCTTGTTTTTTTCATAATTTAGAAATTTGGAAAAAGGGGGGAGAAAAAAAACATTAATTTGTAGTATCCGTTGTAGCTATGCTCTGCGTCCAAATACACTGAGAAACAATAAACATTTTTATCTCTCTCTGCGTACTATTAATACACTAGCATATTAAGGGAAACAATATATATTCTTATCTTTCACTCTCTTCATATCAAAATAGTTATCCTTTGAAACGTATACCGGCGGCAAAAACCGTTTCCTCCGCTATCTTTCAACGTTTCTCAAGCATCCGGTTCTTAGCTCTCAGTTTCAAAATATATTTAAGGCAGTGTCGCTGTTGAAAGGAAATTCTAATGCCTTTTCTCCTACAAATGATAGAATTTATACTTGTGTCTGATTTTTGCAGATGTTAGGAAGAATGGTGGAGATGGTACACTTGTGTCACGTTTGTTTATGTGCGATGTTTATTTTTATGTTTGTGTGTGATTGTTTACCAGGCCAGTTCTTTTCTGGGCTTTCCTGTAAGCCCTTCATCTTTCTTCTTCCTCCTCCTCCATCTTTTTCTTCTTCTTCACCTTCTTCCTTCTCCTTCCTCTTCTTTCTCCTCCTCCATCTTCTTTTTCTTCTTCTTCTTCACCTTCTTCCTTCACCATCATCATCTCCTCCTCCTCCTCCTCCTCCTCCTCCTTCTTCTTCTTCTTCTTCTTCTTCTTCTTCTTCTTCTTCTTCTTCTCTTCTTATTATTATTATTATTATTATTATTATTATTATCCTCCTCCCTCCTCCTCCTCCTCCTCCTCCTCCTTCCTCCCTCTTCTCCTCCTCCCTCCTCCTTCTTTTTTTTCTTCATTATTATCGTCATTTATTTCGTCGTCATAAGCTTCTTTTTTTTTTTTTCGTCGTTTTTTAAAAATATTTTTAAGACGCAATACAGCTGTTTTTTTTTTTCGTTTCCGCTTCTTGGCACCAAACCTTTCATGGCAGTGACTTCCTCTGTTCTGGGAGACGGGAAGTCACTGTATTATGCGTGTTTTAGTGTACTTATCGTAATGTTTGTGTGTTGCTGATAATAGAATTATGATTTTAATGATACTGTTATCTGCTGTGATTTATTTACTTGTTTTCCGAAATCTCTCTCTGTCTCTGTCTCTCTCTTTCTCTTTCTCTCTCTTCTGTCTGTCTGTCTCTCTCTCTCTCTCTCTCTCTCTCTCTCTCTCTCTCTCTCTCTCTCTCTCTCTCTCTCTCTCTCTCTCTCTCTCTCTCTCTCTCTCTCTCTCTCTCTCTCTTCTCCTCCTCCCTCCTTTTTCTTCTTGTTCTTCTTCGTCTCCTCCTCTCCTCCTCCTTCCTCCTCCTTCTCCTCCTCTCTCCTCTCCTCCTCCTCCTCCTCCTCCTCTCCTCCTCCTCCTCTCCTCTTTTCCTTCTCCTCCTTCCTCCCTCTCCTCCTTCCTCAAAAACCCCTCTGTACCCTATGTTAACAGAACCACATTTGGCATTTTTCTAGGGTGTTTATACAGGGACACTTGAGGCATTAATATACGTCACTTTACACTGTGTTAAGGCCATTGAAGAGTTATGCTATGTATTATCGTGTACTTTTTGTTTACTGATTTTGATGCCAGTGTGCGTGTGTGTGTGTGTGGTGTGTGTGTGTGTGTGTGTGTGTGTGTGTTGTGTGTGTGTGTGTGTGTGTGTGTGTGTGTGTGTGTGTGTGTGTGTGTGTGTGTGTGGTGTGTGTGAAAGAGCGAGGGAGGGAGAGAGAGAGAGAGAGAGAGAGAGAGAGAGAGAGAGAGAGAGAGAGAGAGAGAGAGAGAGAGAGAGAGAGAGAGAGAGAGAGAGAGAGAAGAGAGAGAGGAAGAGAGAGAGAGAGAAAGAACGACAGAGAGAGATAGGAGAAAGAGAGAGAGAGAAGTTTGCACCGCACATATTCCCACGTGGTTACTCTTTCACGTTGAAAAGGTACAGTACGTCTTTTATAATAAATTTAACCATTGACCGATCGAGAAAGAGAAAAAACAGGTCAATCATTGAGACAGACAGACAGATAGATATATAAGTAAATAATCACATAAACAGACAGAAAAGGAACAGCAAGATGGATAAAAAACACTAAATCAACAGACAGATAGATAATGATACAAACACGATATTGAACGACAGACACAGGTATACAGGCGGACAGGTAGACAGACGGACAGATAGACAGACTGACAGGTAGACAGACGGACAGGTAGACAGACGGACAGGTAGACAGACATGCCATTCGAAACCTGTTAAGAAGAGTAACAGCATGATTCGAGAGAGCTGTATCGAGTGTTGGTTCACTCGTTACAGTTGATTCAGCTGGTTCACAGGTGTTCGGACAGATGTCGACACAACACCTGCGTCAAACCACACCTGTTTCGCCTAGTATAGGAGAGGTCTCATGCCGGCGCTCTGGCGATGTTGTGGAGCCGGCTTTTCTGAGAGCGTTTAAGCCCGCAAGTTGCATTTTTTTTTTAGAGAGAGAGAGAGACAGGCAGACGGATAGACGGGCGGACAGACAGACAGACAGACAGACAGACAGCAGTCACAGGCACAGACAGATAGATAGATAGACACAACACACACACACACACACACACACACACACACACACACACACACACACACACACACACACACACACACACACACACAAGATAGACAGAC